ATGCGTACGGATGGATTGTTTGAGGTGGTGCTTGAAAGGGGCCCGTAGAGCCACGCCTCTGTCAGTCTGCCCCAGGGCAGCTGTGGCTAAAATCATAGCTACCACCACCAGAATGAATGTGTGTGAATGAATAATTGACAGCTGATTGTATGCGCTTTGAGTTACTCCTTGAGTAAGAAATGTGCTGCATAAATCTAATCAATTATTATTATTACTATTAACTTGCCAAACTGCCTCCCGCTGCTCACTTCACCTCCTCCACCTGGACAAAGACTCAGCCAGCCTCCCTCCACCTTTCTGCTAATCGACCTTTTCACCAAACTCCAGTAACTAAATGGTTGCGTTACTCTGGAGCACAAAAAAACAAAACCACGTGGAAGTTCCACACACTGCAGTTCCATGGGTGGCCACTTGAGGCTCAAAAAGTGAGTTTATCCCCGTAGACCCCCGCGTTCAGATGTCCACCTGTACAGCAGAGATGTCTACAGCCTGTTACAAAAAATTATTCTGGTGTTTAGAGCTAGTTTTCCTGTTCATCACAGCTGTATGGGGGTGACATTTTATCTTTTTATCTTAACGTCATGCATGATTGAATGTATGGCTGCTCTGAGTGACAGCTGGTCACAGCCCAGAGAAGTCTGCGTGACGCACCTCGGCTCCACTCATGCTCGTTTCAGAGCATTATATAATTGTTATCATCACCATCATCAGTATTTGTTCCCTTTGCCCCACACAAGCCAGGAGTTCTGAAATGTGCAAAACAGAAGAATTACGTAACCGAAACCAAAAGAGGGTGCTAAACGAGCTGCTCACTCTCCTGGGGGAAAAAAACAACTTAAAAAACTGTAAAATCAGATGTTTTTTTAGAGCCAAAACTAAGAATGACAGTGATGTGAACCAAAACATTTCCCTCAACAGTGAGTTTAGTCTAATGACTGGATCTCAGCAACTGAGAATATGGATTTTATTTTCTAAAACATGCAGCACCCTCTGTTCGAGGTGGAGTCTCTGGTTTGATCACTCCTACCGCCGCCTTCCTTGAGAACATGTTACACTAAATGTTCTCAAGAAACAGCTAAATTTGACAGGTAATGATGATAACACTGCTATTACTTCAACAAATAATAATAATTATTCTTATTATCATTATTGTCATCATAGTAAAATTATTAAAAATAATAATGGAGGCATTACATTTTCCAGGGCATTTATCTTCCTTGAGAACGTTTTGTACCAAATATTACCCAGTGTAGAATCTGCTCCATGATAAACGTTCTGGAAAATCACATCCCAGCCTGAATCACTGCCTCCATTATTATTTTAAATATTTTTACTCTCATTACCTGTCAAATATAGTTGTTTCCTGAGAACATTTGGTTCAACATGTTCTCAACGAAGGTGATGGCAGGAGTGATCAAACCAGAGACTCAACCTCTAACAGAGGGTGCAGCATTCACTCTGCGCCTACCTGCAGACCAGGACTGGATCCTTCTACAGAGCAGGTCTCTGAACCCCAGTGACTATGGATGGACATTAGGTGTGCGTGGGTATGAGCCACTTCCAACACTAGACCCCGTGACTCCTGAGGAGCTACTGAAGTTCACAAGCTGTGACTGTCACGGAGATTGCAGCAA